GCTCACACTGGGAAGCTGACAAAGCTCTTGGGATCAATCAGTCCCTCCCATTCGCTTCAATCCTATTCCAGTTGCATTTGCCAAATCTTTATAATCAATGGATAATTGGCCATACTGTGTGCCAGTGTGTTTTGGAACCTTTGCTGCTCTGAAAAGATCTCCTGGCTTGAAGTGGTGTGTGGGTTTTATTATGGTTGGACACATCTGAAAAGTCTTGGGGGTAATAACAAAATGTATTATAAGCTGTAAGGGAGTTTAAAATGCCAGACCTAAGACAGAGCAATGTCCCTTCCCTAGAGCATCCATTCCAATGCAGCTGCAACAATCTGGAAGGAGAGTCTTTAAAGTCCCAGAGAAAGTACATTCTGTTGTCAGTTTTCCTGTGAGGGAGGCGGAGGAGAAGCGATTTTAAGGTTTAAAACTCTCTGTGTTATTGTTTATATGTAAGTTATATTAATTGTACTGTTTTATTTGCTTGCTGTTTTGTTTTTACTGATGTGTTGTTGGGCTTGGCCTCATGTAAGCCACCCCGAGTCCCCTTGGGGAGATGGTGGTGGGGTAATAATAAAGATTATTATTATTATTATTATTATTATTATTATTAATTATTATTATTTTCAAACCAGCAACTTTGGCTGGATCTACATTTCCCAATAATGCAGCTCAAATGCATTATCTGGTCAGGGTAATAAACCCATATAATGCAGTTAAACCGCATTAAATAGGTCTATGCCACATGTGTGAATGTGACCCAAGACCTGTAATTCAAATCCATCCTGTCATGTCATTTTATGTGGCCCTCCTGATGCTGGACTACAACTCCTGTCTTCCTCCTCATATCATGACTAGAGCTGATGGGCACACAAGTAGAGTAACATCTGAAAGGATGCCACTTGTTCTGTCTACTCACGACAGTGGGGTTTCAGTTCAGATACACTGCTTGTGCTTGTGCTTGTTTATAAAGCTATTGTTCTCCCAACCCTGCTATATGCCTGCGAAACATGGACTGTCTATAGACGTCTGATCAGCGCTGCCTCCGGAAAATCCTGCAAATCTCTTGGGAAGACAGGTGGACAAACGTCAGTGTGCTGGAAGAAGCAAAGACCACCAACATTGAAGCGATGGTCCTCCGCCATCAACTCCGCTGGACCAGCCACATTGTCTGGATGCCCGACCACCGTCTCCCAAAGCAGTTGCTCTACTCCGAACTCACGAAAAGAAAACGGAATGTTGGTGGGCAGGAAAAGAGATTTAAAGAAAGAAAGAAAAGAAGAGCCAACCTTGAAAACTCTGGGAGGAGTTGGTCCATGGGCCCTTCCATACAGCCCTATATTCATAGAATCATAGAGTTGGAAGAGAACTCATGGGCAATCCAGTCCAACAAAGCACCCCCGACAGATGGCCATCCAGCCTCTGTTTAAAAGCTTCCAAAGAAGGAGCCTCTACTACACTCCAGGGCTATCATGTTTCCTCTCAGCCTTCTCTTTTTCAGGCTAAACATGCCCAGCTCTTTAAGCTGCTCCTCATAGGGCTTGTTCTCCAGACCCTTGATCATTTTAGTCGCCCTCCTCTGGAAGCTTTCCAGCTTGTCAATATCTCTCTTCAACTGTGGTGCCCAGAATTGGACCAACTCCTTCTACACAGTCCTATAACCCAGAATATCAAGGCAGAAAATCCCACATTATATGAGATAACCCAGTTCAAAGCAGATATTGTGGGATATTCTGCCTTGATATTCTGGGATATAGGGCTGTGGGGAAGGAGTTGGTCCAGGGGCCCTTCCATAAAGACCTAGGCAAAAGACATAGGAATTGGAATGACTGGACAACGAGATGTGACAATGTTTTTTATTAAGAAACGTAAATGGTCTATTTTTTAATATTCTTCTTATGGTTTTATATTATGTGATAATGTTTTTAAAAGTTTTGTGGTGTTTTTGGGCATTGAATCATTTCCATTGTACACCACCCTGAGTCGCCTGAGGGCTGAGAAGGGCGGTATACAAATACAGTAAGTAAGAAAATAAATAAATAAATTATAGAATATCAAGGCCGAGAATCCCAAATTATCTGAGATAACCCAGTTCAAAGCAGATATTGTGGGATGTTCTGCCCTGATATTCTGGGATATAGGGCTGTGTGGAAGGAGTTGGTCCAGGGGCCCTTCCATACAGCCCTATGTTCCAGAATATCAAGGCAGAAAATCCCACATTATCTGAGATAACCCAGTTCAAAGCAGATATTGTGGGATGTTCTACCTTGATATTCTGGGATATATGCCTGTGAGACGTGGACTGTCTACAGACGTCACATGCAACTCCTGGAATTATTCCGTCAGCACTGCCTCCGGAAAATCCTGCAAATCTCTAAGGAAGAAAAGCAGGCAAATGTCAGCATGCTGGAAGAAGCAAAGACCATCAGCATTGAAGTGATGGTCCTCCGCCATCAACTCCGCTGGACTGGCCACATTGTCTGGATGCCCAACCACCGTCACTACTCCGAACTCAAGAATGGAAAACAAAATGTTGGTAGACAGAAAAAGAGATTTAAAGATGGGCTCAAAGCCAACCTCAAAAACTGTGGCATAGACACTGAGAACTGGGAAGCCCTGGCCCTTGAGCGCTCCAGCTGGAGGTCACCTGTGACCAGCAGTGCTGTAGAATTTGAAGAGGCACAAATGGAGGGTGAAAGAGAGAAACGTGCCAAGAGGAAGTAGCATCAAGCCAACCCTAACTGGGACCGCCTTCCACCTGGAAACCAATACCCTCACTGCGGAAGGAGATGCAGATCAAGAATAGGGCTCCACAGCCACCTACGGACCCACCAGTACACTCATCTTGGAGGGCTATCCTACGCAGACAACAAAAGATCACGCAAGTCAGGAGTCCTCAAACTAAGGCCCAAGGGCCGAATACAGCCCTCCAAGGTCATTTACCCGGCCCGAGGGCCGAATACAGCCTCCCAAGGTCATTTACCCGGCCCGAGGGCAGAATACAGCCTCCCAAGGTCATTTACCCGGCCCGAGGGCAGAATACAGCCCTCCAAGGTCATTTACCTGGCCCGGGGGCCGAATACAGCCCTCCAAGGTTATTTACCCGGCCCGAGGGCCGAATACAGCCCTCCAAGATCATTTACCCGTCCCGGGGGCCGAATACAGCCCTCCAAGGTTATTTACCCGGCCTGAGGGCCGAATACAGCCCTCCAAGATCATTTACCTGGCCCGAGGGCCGAATACAGCCCTCCAAGATCATTTACCCGTCCCGAGGGCCGAATACAGCCCTCCAAGATCATTTACCTGGCCGAGAGCTGAATACAGCCCTCCAAGATCATTTACCTGGCCCGAGGGCCGAATACAGCCCTCCAAGATCATTTACCCGTCCCGAGGGCCGAATACAGCCCTCCAAGATCATTTACCTGGCCCGAGGGCCGAATACAGCCCTCCAAGATCATTTACCCGGCCCGAGGGCCGAATACAGCCCTCCAAGATCATTTACCCGTCCCGGGGGCCGAATACAGCCCTCCAAGGTTATTTACCCGGCCTGAGGGCCGAATACAGCCCTCCAAGATCATTTACCCGTCCCGAGGGCTGAATACAGCCCTCCAAGATCATTTACCTGGCCGAGGGCTGAATACAGCCCTCCAAGATCATTTACCTGGCCCGAGGGCCGAATACAGCCCTCCAAGATCATTTACCCGTCCCGGGGGCCGAATACAGCCCTCCAAGGTTATTTACCCGGCCTGAGGGCCGAATACAGCCCTCCAAGATCATTTACCCGGCCCGAGGGCCGAATACAGCCCTCCAAGATCATTTACCTGGCCGAGGGCTGAATACAGCCCTCCAAGATCATTTACCTGGCCCGAGGGCCGAATACAGCCCTCCAAGATCATTTACCCGTCCCGGGGGCCGAATACAGCCCTCCAAGGTTATTTACCCGGCCTGAGGGCCGAATACAGCCCTCCAAGATCATTTACCCGGCCCGAGGGCCGAATACAGCCCTCCAAGATCATTTACCTGGCCGAGGGCTGAATACAGCCCTCCAAGATCATTTACCTGGCCTGAGGGCCGAATACAGCCCTCCAAGATCATTTACCCGGCCCGAGGGCCGAATACAGCCCTCCAAGATCATTTACCCGTCCCGGGGGCCGAATACAGCCCTCCAAGATCATTTACCCGGCCCGAGGGCCGAATACAGCCCTCCAAGGTCATTTACCCGGCCCTCGCTCAGGGTCAACCTAAGTCTGAAACGACTTGAAAGCACACAACAACAATCCTATCTCATCAGCCAAAAGCAGGCCCACACTTGCCATTGAAATACTAATAAGTTTATATTTGTTAAAATTGTTCTTCATTTTAATTATTGTATTGTTTGTAAGTGTGTTTTTTTTTTGCACTACAAATAAGATATGCGCACTGCGCATAGGAATACATTCATGCTTTTTTCAAATTATAATCCTGCCCTCCAACAGTTTGAGGGACTGTGCCCTGGCCCTCTGTTTAAAACGTTTGAGGACCCCTGATCTAAATAAATATTCTGGGATATAGGGCTGTGTGAATGGGCACTAGGTGAGGTGGCAAAAAAAATTATGGGATGGGGTGGGTTGAAATAAAAATATTTGTGGGAGTTGAATCCCCAGAATTGAAGACCAGAAGTTTGCCCATGCCTGGTCTACACACTGACAACATAATCCAATTCAAACAACATGATCCACACTGCTCCATCTCACTCCTCTCTCCCGCCTCCCTCTCTTTTTGCCATTCCAAGCCACATCTGGTTTCATTCAGGAGCCTCTTTTCCTTTCCAAAACTAAAGCAACCCCCCCCCCCTACAAAGTGCCCCTTTAACTGCCCCACAAAGAAAGAGGGGAAGGAAAGAAAGGAGGTGAAGTTGGTCTATCTAGTTCCCCCCCTTTTTGTTAAACAAAGCAGACCTACAAGCCCCTCCTTTCAACCTAGACATTTATACACAAACATGCCCCCTTCTTTCCTTCTTGCAAGTTTACCTGAGGGAAGGGCGCAGAGTCCAAGCTCGAGGGCCAAAAGGATGCCCAAGGCGAGTCTGAAGAAAGAGGAGGGTTGCATCGCGGGGGAAAAGGCTCCTGAAGTTCCTCTCTTCCTTTGCTTCTCCTTTGGGGCAGCTTTGGAGGGGCTCCCTTTCCTCTTCGCTTCTGCCTAGGCTTGAGGGTGGAAAGTCCTGAGGGGAGGAAAGGGCGAGGGAGGAAAGGGGGCCCCCCAAACAAGATGCGAGAAGGCCCCTCCTCGCCTCCTTCAAGGATTCAGACGCTGCGTCACGAAACCCCACCGGCTGCCCAGCCAGTTGTGGGCGGAAAAGGGAGAAAGGAGTTTGTGAGGAAGGGAGGGAGATATGAAGGGGGAAAAAAGAGGGAGAGAAAGCTTGGAGAAGCTTCCTTGAAGGCTTCCCAAAGTGGAGGAGAACTTTTTTTTTTTTTTTTTTGGCAGCTGGGTCTCCACTGAGAGGAATTGCAACACGTTGCAAAGGAGGAGGAGAGAAGCTGAGGAGAGCAGCTCTGCTCTTTGGAGTTCGCACTGCCAAGCTCTTCTTTTCTTTCTTTCTTTGCTTCCTTCCTTCTTTCTTACTTACTTTCTTTCCTTCCTTCTTTCCTTCTCCTCCCTCCCTCTTTCTTTTTTCCTTTCCTTCCTTCTCCTTCCTTCCTCCTTCCTTCCTTCCTTCCTTCTCCTTCTTTCTCTCCTTCTTTCCTCCCTTCCCCTCTTTCTTTCTTCTCCTCTTCCTTCTCTCCTTCTTTCCTTCTTCCTTCCCTCTTTCTTTCTTTCTTTCCTCCCTTTCTCTTTCTTCCCTCTTTCTTTCTTTCTTCCTTCCTTCCTTTCCTTCTTTCCTTCTTTCCTTTTTTTCTTTCTTTCCTTCCTTCTTTCCTTTCCTCCTTCCTTCCTTTCCTTTCCTTTCCTTCTTTCCTTTCTTCCTTTCCTTCCTTTCCTTCCTTCCTTTCCTTTCCTTCCTTCCTTCCTTCCTTCTTTCTTCCTTCCTTTTCTTTTTTTCCTTCTTTCTTTCCTCCCTTCCTCCCTCCCTCTTCTTCTTCCTTCTTCTTCTTTCCTTCCTTCCTTTCTCTTTCCCCTTCCTTCTTTCCTTCCTTCCTTCCTTCCTTCCTTCCTTCCTTCCTTCCTTCTTTCCTTCTTTCCTTCCTCCTCCTTCCTCCTTCCTCTTTCTTTCTTCCTTCTTTCCTTCCTTCTTTTCCTTCTTCCTCCTTTCCTTCCCTCTTTCTTTCTTTACTTCCTTCCTTCTTTCTTAATTTCCTTCTTTCTTTCCTTCCTTCCTTCCTCCCTCTTTCTTTCCTTCTTCCCTTTCCTTCTTTCCTTCTTTCCTTCCCTCTTTCTTTCCTTTTTTTCCTTCTTCCTCCTTCTTTTCTTCTTCCTTCCTTCCTTCCTTTCTTTCCTTTCCTTTCCTTCTTCTTTCTTTCTCTTTCTTTCTTTCTTTCTTTCTTCTTTCCTTCTTTCTTTCCTCCCTCCCTCTTTCTTTCTTCCTTCCTCCTTCCTTCTTTCTTTCTTCTTCCCTTTCCTTCCTTCCTTCCTTCCTTCCTTCCTCTTTTCTTTCCTTCCTTCCTTCCTTCTTTCCTTTTCCCTTCCCTTCCCTTCCTTCCTTCCTTCCTTCCTTCCTTCCTTCCTCTTTCTTTCCTCCTCCTCCCTCTCTCTCCCTCCCTCTCTTCCTTCCTTCCTTCCTTTCTTTCTTTCTTTCTTCCTCTCCCCCTTCTTGAAATCACTCCTCTCCCCACTCACTTTAAAATGTCACTTATGGTATGTTATCTCCCCCCCCCCCCGACTTTTACTCCGTTTACACTGAGATGCTACGTGTACACAGACACATGTTGTGTCTTGTTGCATGAAGCATTTCAGAAGAAAATGTCAATCCGAATCCAATTGTTCCCCACAAAGCTAACCACAAAATGTGCAGGATGTGCGATATTCTGACTTCATGAAATGACAAAGGGCCCTTCCACACAGTCCTATATCCCAGAATATCAAGGCAGAGAATCCCACAATATCTGCTTTGAATTAGGTTATCTGAGTCCACACGGCCATATATTCCAGTTCAAAACAGATATTGTGGGAGCCTCTGCCTTGATTTTCTGGCCTATAGAGCTGTGTGGAAGGGCCCAAAAGTGTTATGTATGCGATTCAGGCCCCTTCTACAGGCCCTTCACCACAGCCATATAACCCAGAATATCAACACATATAATCCACAATATTTGCTTTTGAGGTCAACAAGCTCACAGGCCCCTGCTTTCAGTCTGATTTGAGCCACAGCAGGGAGTTCCACAGTTTCTGAACATCTGGACGGAATGGAGACAAGGGAAAGTGGTTCCTGCAGCAGCTCTAACAACAAGGACTTATTTCTCTCTTATGAAGTAGCGACTAAAATACTTTTATGGTTGAGGTTCACCACAACATGAGGAACTGTGTTAAGGGGTCACCACATTAGGAAGGTTGAGAACCACTGCCTTAAGCAGAGGCTGGATGGCCATCAATTGGGAATGCTTTGATTGAGTTTTCCTGCACAGCAGGGGACTGGACTAGACTGGATGGCCCTTGTGGTCTCTTCCAGTTGTATTACTCCCCCTATTCAAATCTGACATTGTACATTTCCTCTGTTTTTCTAAAGTTGGGAATTAAACTAAAGGTTCAGGGAGATACAGGGTTGTGGGAGGTTGACGAAAACGCTGTGACACTACAGCGAGCAGGCATTGTCTCCTTTTCTTTAACAGAGGATGATGACAGGCATTGCGTTTTGCATTTTTAGTTGCATCAGCTACCTTTCGCATGCCTTCACCATACCCTTCCCTCCTGACTTGAAGGGGCTTATGTAGACAGTGTTGCAATTTATTGGCACATATTATTTGTCGATTCTGCTAACACTGTCTTCTTTCACTTCTTCTTTCATGCCTTCTTCTTGTCCCCATCCATGCACAATTTTCCATGGTTCATTGAGATCACAGTTTCTTAAACCAGAGATCCCAACCCCAAATGGGGTCCCCGTGACTCAATATTGGGCTCACAAATAATTTGGGAACAATAATCTGTTAGCTACAACATGCTGAGTTTGCAGTGAACTCTGCAGAAGATGCTTCAACTGTACTCACAAATAAGGGAAAGCAGCCTGTTTAGCAAGCCTTGCAAATGCAGATGTTTGATTTTTATACCTATCTTATATACCTACTAGCTGCCCCCTGCCACACGTTGCTGTGGCCCAGTCTGGTGATTTGGGAAATAAAGTAATGGTTTCTAATCTATGTAATTTATTTATGCTTGTGGGTAAACAGTATTTCTTGCTGTTTCTTTTTCAGTGTTGATGTGGAGATTGTCTGGTTTGCCCCTGGAACATGCAACATAATTGTCCTTCTTTAGGGGTCCCTTTTCTATGATACTATATCTCTCTGTGTGTGAATCTATATCTATCTATATCTATGGCTGGATGGCTCTTTGTCAGTAGGGCTTTGATTATTTTCTTGCCCTGGTGGTTGGACTGGATGGCCTTAAGTATTTTCTGTTGGTCATGGGGTTCTGTGTGGGAAGTTTGCCCCAATTCTGTCATTGGTGGGGTTCAGAATGCTCTTTGATTGTAGGTGAACTATAAATACCAGCAACTACAACTCCCAAATGTCAAGGTCTATTTTCCCCAAACTCCACCAGTGTTCACATTTGGGCATACTGAGTATTTGTGCCAAGTTTGGTCCAGCCTATAAATGTTTGAGTCCACAGTACTCTCTGGCTGTAGGTGAACTACAACTCCCAAACTCAAGGTCAATGCCCACCAAACCCTTCTAGTGTTTTCTGTTGGTCATGAGAGTCCTGTGTGCCACGTTTGGTTCAATTCCATCATTGGTGGAGTTCAGAATGCTCTTTGATTGTAGGTGAACTATAAATCCCAGCAACTACAACTCCCAAATGACAAAATCAAAATTTTTGAGTGAAGGACATACATTGGGTTGTTAGTTGTATGCTGTCCAAATTTGGTGTCAATTGGCCCACTGGTTTTTGAGTTCTGTTAATCCCACAAACAAACATTACATTTTTATTTATATAGATATACCTGGGGTCACGTGAAACTTTCTCAGGCTGAAGAGGATCACAAGTGAAAAAAGCTTGCAAAGCCCATATTTAGATAATGAGCTGCATCAAATCAGATTGACAGACATACACACACAAAGAGAGCTATATTTGAGGGTCTCTGGTCTATGAGAGGTCTAATAATATAAAATCTGAATTATTAAATTTTAATTGTTTGCAAGATCCTGGCTTAAAATTTTTCAAATGTCGAGTCTAAGGACCCTTCCACACAGCCATATAATCCAGAATATCAAGGCAGATAATTCCACAATATCTGCTTTGAAGTGGGTTATCTAAGTCCACACTGCCATATAATCCAGTTCAAAACAGATATTGTGGAATTCTCTGCCTTGATAATCTGGGATATAGGGCTGTGTGGAAGGGGCCTAAGTACCCCTTGAGGAAAGCATCTAACTATACATAGGCAAAACTGTATTAGACTTTTCTAATAATGAATCCCAGTTTAGGGGGGAAAGATCAGTTATAAAGGTGGGGCATTGAGTTCTGGTAAAAATACTGCCCCCAAAATATTATTTCCCCAAATTTCTAGCCTTGCAAAGAATGAGACACTGAAAATCCTACATTTATGCTCACTGTGTTTGCATTCCCTTGATAATTTTCCTTGCACCATCGTTTTGGATGCCTAAACTGTATATATAAATGTTCCGCTGAAGTTTTAACTTACTGCAATGCTACAATTTTGGGGATTAAAGAAATATTTCTGGGGGCGGAGAGGGAATTCCTTTGGGAGCGTCAATGCCTTCATTTGCTTAATGCTAACAACAACAATCCACTATCTTTTGAGTATCTTCAGATGTTTCCCTTGTTTCTTTTGTGAATTCCATTGGATGTTTTCCAGTTTTTGCTTCTTTTGTGTATTTTAATTGGTTTTTGAGGCACATAACCTTCTTACACTGATTGCAGCAGAAAGAATGAACATTTTTTGTTTGTTTTGCTGACACAGGTAGAATAACATCACAATCCATCACCATTTTCAAATAGTTAAATACATAATGAATACATATCAGATATTGTTTTCATAGTGAGCTTATCAATCCCACCTTTACCTCCCACTTGTGTCTGACAATTTTACACCCCTCACCTCCTCCCCCCATCCCCACCCTCAGGGAACAGTACTTGTCTTCATTCAATTATTAAATTAATTGAACAATTGTGAAAAGAGAATGCTTCAGTTCTTTATATCTTTCTTTTCCTTCGACTTTTTCTATCAGTCTTTCCCATTTCTGAACCCAGGTCTTAAATCGGCCTGCTGTGTATTTGGCTCTTCTTTCATAAATGTAGTCCTGAAGCATGTAGTCTGCTAGGTAATCATACCATTTTTTAACTTCCCACTTTCTA